AAATTTGTTTTGTCCTGATTCTGCATGTGTGTGTGTTTAACAAGTGTTTTTAAATATGCGTTGTTGTTTTCCGTGTACTTTGAAGCATATTTCCCCCCTCTAAATATTCATTTCTCAAAAGAAGCATTTAAAATTACTTTTGATACCCACATTGGAACATTGGGAAGTGTCACAGTCGGTGGATACCAAAGTTTTGACCTGCATGTTAGTCTGGGAGGTGTGGATCAAGAAAGCTCCTTTCACCATACGCAAAGACTGAATTCAATCACCTCTAGTGAGAATGAGGCCAACCAGTGCTAACAAGGATTTGGCCTTCACCATCATCACCATCTCACACACACACACACACACACACACACACAAATGGGAAGCATCCATTGGAAAGGAGAACCAATCTCAAGAAGCAGAAGGAAGAAGATTTTAATTTTTTTAATGCACTACCCTTTCTTCAGCATCTGGAAGTTGGTTTTCCTTTCTTGCCCTTACCATCACAGTGTCACAAAGTATAGAGTTCTGCTTCCCCTCGCCCAAGCATTAAATGAGAGAAAGATGAATTCTGGGCTATTAGGAATCAGAGCTGCTCTCAGTATCTTCAATGGTCCAATGTAAGTGTTGCTGGTTCATATAGATGAGGCTCATCCCCACTTCTCCTATTGTTGTATCTGGAGGGCGACACTTGTAGGTACCATTTGGTCAGGGTTAAAGCTCATCCCAGCCCCTTCTGACCCTATGCATTCTCTAATCTCCACAGTTCCTTCCTAGAGTTCTGTTTCTTGATCCTACTGGAGTCTGGCATCTGATGAAAAGCTGGAAATTGGTTTTTATACATAGATAGGTTTTGCTTTTCATAAAATAATGAAAAGACAGTCCTTTTCCTCCCCTACCTGCGGCTATCTCTTTGTATGCCATTCAAAAGTCATTGTTACCATTCACCTAGGCAAACATCTACAATGTTACAGCTGATACAAGAAGACGGGCGATGCAAAATTACAATATTAGCATATAAGTCACCCCATGTATAATTTATAGCAGCTGTCATTTAAACTCCCCCTCCTTCCCTCCCTCCATATTGTGCTCTAGATACAGTGTTCAATTTCAACTCATCTTTTCATCTTTTCTCACTCTAGGTTGTGAAGGTCAAACTGAATGCAGGATTTCCTTCTACAACCAGAATCCAAGGTCAGCTTTTGAATTTGATGATCAAAACGTCCCACAGGACTGAGGGGCAAAAGCTGACAATCAGTTTCCAAGCTCAAACAACTACTGGCTAATTGCTGAGCGAGTTTTTCTTCTGCAGATGGAGCTAAAACCGTTTATTTTGTTATGAATGTAATAATATAATTCACCATGTTTTTCATCATCTGCATGGCAAAGGCTAATCTGTCATGCATTAGGCCAGACCTGTGTGTAATCCACACTAAGTAAATATATAAATCTAAACAAAGTTGATCCAAATCCTCTACCAAGGGCAGCTGCATGCTGTGGCATGTATATGCTGTGCAAATTGTGCTAATTTGAATTATTTATCTAATTTTGCATAGTTTGTTCTTTAACGTTGGGGTTTTTTTGCTAGTCATGGGATGGCAATGACATTGAAATCCCATTCATCTGTCATTTATGGAATGTGAAATTGCAACAGGAATTATCACATCCATTAAGTCTAGAAACTTATTATTATTATTATTATTATTAAGCAGAAGCAGGGATGTTCAGGAAAGTGAATTTTGTGCCCACTACCCACCTTGCACCAATCCTGCAGAATCCTGATTAACACAAAAACCTGCAACAGTCTGAGAACAAGTCAGGATGTTCTCAGGCAGTATGATTTGAAGTTGGGATTGCTTTTCAGAAATGACATCTGCCTTTATCTGACTGACTTTGCCCTGAGCAGAGACAAATTCTACTAGTTGGGCCAGGAACTTACTGCAACAAACCTTTGTTTAGATAAAGTCTTAGATATCCTCCCAAATGTTCACTTCAACCACTTATCATGTTTGTGTTTTTGTTGTTGTTTTTAGGGTTTTAAAAAAATATATATAAAAAGCACCATTCCTTCAAATGTGTACTCAACGCATAGCTGGCAAAGCATGAGATGTAGAGGGTTAACGTACCTCTGACATTTTAAATGTTCTCTACAATTGCCACTTTTTAAGTTGAAGTCTATGGCTATAGACACATGCACAGAACCTATGAAATGGAGGAGACAAAGACCTAAGACGTCACCTCATCCACCAGGCCCCTGACATAAAGCATTTTTTGCTGGGAAGGCCCGCAATCCCTCCTGCCTTAGGGAACTTCCTTGCCCAGATTTTATTTTGATTTGGCTAATCATACTTATTTGGTTTCACCACAGTTATGGTTTCTTGAGTCTTCTTTAAGGGTGTGCTAGCAATCCCCTGTTTAGGGGGAAGGAGAAACTAGCATTGCATGGAGCAGATCCTGAACATGCTAGATTTTATTTGTAAAGGCAGCTGATATGTTTGCTTTTTTTTTTTTTTTTTTTACAGGAGAGAACATCTTTTAAAAGGTGGAACCTGGATTGTGTGTGGATTAGTCCCAAAAAGACACCATGTTGCATGTGCACTAGCTAATATGAAAATTTCTGTTCCCATTAGAGACATCAAACCGCCCATACAGTCATGTACACGGAAGATATTTGAACAGACTTTGATATCTGCCTTTCACCTTGTATGTACCAGTTCTGATGGATATTCATTCGATTTCCTCAGAAGTGGACAGGTCTACTGGAGGAAGACTGGAAGAAATTCAAAGACTATCTTCAGAAACATTGCAAAATTAAGGAATGTTAGAGTGATGTTGGATTGAAAATAAGTGGTTTCCAGCTGTACAGGTTAAAGTTAAGGATAGATTAAGATTAAAGATCAAGATTAAAGATGTTTAAAGAAATGGAAATTTGATAATAAAAGGGAAAAATTTAAAGCTATATGACATTAAGATCAAGGATTAGGTTTAAAAAAGTTGAAGTTATATATTTTAACATTTTATTAAATTAAAGATTGGGATTAAAAAAGTGGAAAAGAAACTGCTGGACAAATAATGTGGATTGGAATACAAAAGAGGGAGGTATGAGGAAGTCCAGAAAATAAGTAATTTAAAATTGGAAAAGGAAAAGAGAGTTTGTTTTTAATTGTTATGTTTTGTGTTTTTATTGTTAAGTTTTGTATTGTTTTTTGTGTGGTGTTGTTTTTCTTTCTTCTTTGTTTAAAACCTTAATAAAAAATTATTAAAAAAAAAAAGAAGTGGACAGGTCTACGTGATATTCAGACCCTTTATGGCCCCCAAATTCTGTGACAACAACAAGCAAATTAAATTCAACGGAAAGAATTTTACACAAATTGGTTCATAGACCGAGCACAGCTAGATGAATGGAGAAAAGGATCACTATAAACTGTAATCAGTCTCTGTCAGTGAGCTGGCCCAGAATAATGTTGCTTTCACTAATCTCATTTCCTGTCTTTTTCTCCTTGCTTTTAAGAAACTTATCTTCACTAGGATAATATAGACGAGGTTCCCAAAGGAATTTCTTTCCCATTCCTTTTAAACCACATAGTTTATAACTTAGTTTTTCTAAGGGGGGGGGATGCAACTGAAAGGGAAAGGATTGGAACAGAAAGATATGATATGAAGATGATAAGAGGGGGAGATAATTCGCACCAGAGGCAATTGCATTCAAGGATGTTCCATAGCTCAGCGGTGCAGTTCATGCTTTGCCTGCATAAGGAGATATACACAGTTCCTGCCATGACCAGTTCAAAAGATCTCAGGTCACAGGGCTGGGAAAAGCTGCTAATCAGGATAAAGATTATCAGGCTAGAAGGAGCAATGATCTCATTCAGTACAAGGCAGCAGTAGCCAATGTGGCAGCAAACTGATGTTGTGGACTACAACTCCCATCATCCCTGACCATTGGCTATGTTACCTATGAAGAGTACCACACTGGATACTCCTGCTATAAGGGAACTTTATATGTGCAAAACTCCCTCTTGGCTACTTTACTGCATTTTCTGCACATATCATTTTATAATGTGTGTCTCTCTACAGTGGTACCTTGGGTTAAGTACTTAATTCGTTCCGGAGGTCCGTTCTTAACCTGAAACTGTTCTTAACCTGAAGCACCACTTTAGCTAATGGGGCCTCCTGCTGCCGCCGCGCCGCCGGAGCACGATTTCTGTTCTCATCCTGAAGCAAAGTTCTTAACTCGAGGTACTATTTCTGGGTTAGCGGAGTCTGTAACCTGAAGCGTATGTAACCTGAAGCGTGTGTAACCCGAGGTACCACTGTGTATATAAACCATTGGTTTTTGGCTTGTGCATTAGTCATGGGGAAAGTGGTGGTGGGGAGATAGAGGGGCCTAGAACTGTTAGGCATATTCCTGGACTCTTCCCTGAATTTTCAGGTTTTAAAAAAGAAAGTTTCTAACCCTTTGGCTTTTGGAGATATAAGTATGCAAGCTGTATTCTCTATCCAATTGCCCGTTGAGACTCTAATCCTAAACGCACTTACTAGGTTAGGGAGGCAGTTAGTCCAGTTCCACACAGTGGGGCTTACTTTCAAGTAAAAAAGGCTGTAATCCCAAATCCAATTATTGAGCATAAAGGGACTTACCTTGGAGTAATCCTGCATAGCATCACACTGCATAGGAAGCAAAACAGTTCCTGCCACCTAGTCTTCTACCCAGTAACTGGAATGATGGATAAGCATTAAGTATGCGTCTCTTCTCTGTGCGTATTTCCTTTTTTTGAACACTATAAAATTAACATTTATTTTATGAATATTAAATACATTTCAAGTATAAGTAAATAATGCTATTAGGCTACCAACTGCTCTATAATACGATCTGACTGCTCTGTAATAATTTTCTGCCCACCCACATACACACATTCCCAGTGTGCCTTGGATACCCTCGCCAAAAGAATGCTAACTATGATGCTATGAGTTAATAGATTTAATAAGCCTGGGAAGTTCCAGGGACATCCTAAGCTATAGCTCCATGGTAGAGCATCAGCTTTGCATGCAGAAGGTCTGAGGTTCAATCCCCAGCATCTCCAGGTAGGACGGGGAGAGTCCCCTGCCTGAAATCTTCGAGAGCTGCTACAAGGCATTCTCAGTCTAAGGCAGTTTCCAATGAATCTGGGATGCTGATGCACTGTATGTGTACAGTGGTACCTCGGGTTACATATGCTTCAGGTTACATACTCCGCTAACCCAGAAATAGTGCTTCAGGTTAAGAACTTTGCTTCAAGATGAGAACAGAAATCGTGCTCCGGCGGCGCGGCAGCAGCAGGAGGCCCCATTAGCTAAAGTGGTGCTTCGGGTTAAGAACAGTTTCAGGTTAAGAACAGACCTCTGGAACGAATTAAGTACTTAACCCGAGGTACCACTGTATTTGTTGGCATCATGTGAGAAAAGCAGCAAGGCAATTCTTATGTCAGGTCAGCCTAAGTTGAGATTCATCAAACTAGATGCAGCCACATAAATCTAACACCACATAATAGGGACTTGGAGGAAAAAACAAAACCTGCAAGCTGGCTTCAGCAATGAGGACGGTGGTCTCAAATCTTCTTTTCAGATCCATATAAACCTAGGGCATGACTTCAAAGCACTGATTTCTAATACAGGGTTGGCAAGTACAGTGGTACCTCAGGTTACAGACGCTTCAGGTTACAGACTCCGCTAAACCAGAAATAGTACCTTGGGTTAAGAACTTTGCTTCAGGATGAGAACAGAAATCGTGCTCCGGCGGCACAGTGGCAGTGGGAGGCCCCTTTAGCTAAAGTGGTGCTTCAGGTTAAGAACAGTTTCAGGTTAAGTACGGACCTCCGGAACGAAGTTAGTACTTAACCCGAGGTACCACTGTATCCTGTAAAAGGGACTGTCTCTGGATTATAACGTATCACCAATGAACTTACTCTGGAAAAAGAACAAGAGAAGATTTGGCAAGGAACTGGCACGCTGTGTGGGCTTTGTTTGGCTTGTCCCAGGTTTGTCTTACATTGTAAAAGTAAGATATTGCATTTTATCAATGGCAGGAGGCCAGACTCAAGTTCCTTTTCAATTGTGGCACTCATGTATAGTTCCCATTCATTTCACTCAATTTGCATATGAAAACTTCCCAGTGGATTATGCCCATGGTGGGCTTTTGTGCAATGCAGGAATGTCCCGCACTTTGCAAAATCAGCAGAGGCTAGCAAAAGTGCAGAGCAGCGATGAAAGCAAAGGCCTCCTTCGTTCTCGTTGAGGCTCTGACACTGAAACCATACAAAATTCATTTGGCCTTGGTTTTCATTACACATTCAGACCAAGTTTGTAAAAAGGATTGCTGTGGTTCATGAATCTTTCAAGCAAACTTGTTCTGATCTATGCTTTTGCATAGCAGTCATGCAAAATTCATCACCTTCTAAGGGTTCTTGACACAAAAGTAGGTGGCATTAGGTGTTTTTTGCACGGATTTGGCTTTCAGAATTTTCTGTAAGGGTCATAACCGAAATTCAAAGCAGAACCCACAAGGAGCAATGCCAATGCTGAAAAATACATTAAATAATATTCCCCATTTTAGAACTCGTGTCTTTGAGGATTCAAATTGTATGAATGGCTAATGATTCTTCAGTCTCTCTAATGCATATATTCTTTCCTCGCTTCTGCTTAGTATCTGCCCAGTAATATTGAATGGGGTAGGTTGGGGTTGAATCGATCTATCTAAAGCACGAGTGATGGAACTTTTCCAGCCAGCCTAAAAGCTAAAGGTGTTGATCAGATGTGAGGATGCATGGCTTCATTCAGGACCACAGACAATCCATTTAAACCAACTCTGCTCAGAGGCAGTAATTCAGTCTGTCATCGGATGTCCCAACCACCCTACCTGATGTTTGGCCCTACCTGAAGATGAACAGGCAGAGCATGTTCATGACTTGCTATTATTTTCAGTAGCCTTTCTGCTAAATGCTTGGCTAGTGTAAGGTTGTGTTAGTTACTCTGTGGAACAGAGATGGGCAAGTGATCTGGCTGTCAACATCCTGTTTCCTGTTTCCTGCTATTGAACCAATTGATCACTGTATTCGACGCCAGGGAGGAATTTGCCTGCAAACCATTTAGGCTGGGCTGGGGTTTTTGCCTACCTCATAGCAACCACCACAACTTGTTGGTGGAAAAAGGCATTGGGTTGGATCCTTAGTCTAAACAGGGGGGGGGGGATGAGTCTTAACCCTCTCTCAGGATCAAGTATCAGGATATCCCAGTAAAGAAGTCCAGGAGGAAATTTTTTGTCCAAATGGGGCTAAAGGGCCACAGAATTCCTAATGGCGTTCCAGGAGGATCACTCCATTTGATGTGCATTAGGGTGCGAACCTTAACCCAACCCTAATGTGTTAATCAACCAGTACTCAAGCTCATTGATTCAGGATACACACCCAATGCCTAAGCCAAAACTTACTTACATCTGTAATCCATAAAGTTGTGGCCATTTCAATCCCAAGACATTGTCAAGACATTTCTTCTGTTTACTGAGCCCTGACCCAAGAGGCTCTGAACTCACTGTGCACAGGCCCACAAACAAAACAGGTCACAGGCTCTTGTTCAATACTGAACCCAAAGCTGGAACATCTGTCTAGGAGCATTCAGAAACTTAATTTGGTAAAAAGTGTGTTTGGTCGTACTGACCAAGAGCACAGGGTACTTGCAGAAGAATATTTGGATTTCTTTGCAGGGCTGAGTTGCTTATCATGCAAATATCATATCCAGAAGAGCTGTGGGAAGCCTTTGGGTCTCCAGAAGTTGCTGAACTACAATTCCCATCAGCTCCAGTGAGCATGGAGATGATAAAAGTTCTACTTCCACAGCATCTGGAAGGGGTGCAAGTACCCCACATCTGATCTGTATAAATAATGTGCTTCTTCCAGCCATCCACTCCAGCAGAAAAATGCTGTTTGCTCTTTGTGATAAATATAAGATGGTCCAAGGCTTTAAATTATGTGAGAACAATTGAATATTATATCTACTAATTAAAGTTCTGGTTTTCGTTATTACTGTTCTCTGTATTACTGGTTCCATTACATGTGGGGATCTCACATATATTTTTTCAGTTGAAATAAATAACTTTTTTCAGCCTTCCTATTTGTTATTTATGTTACAGTCATTAATTTGATGATTAGGGTGGGGGTGTATTTAAGTGATGTATTCTGCTAAATTAATCTCAGTGCAGGCTCATTGAAATAAATTGACAACTGAAAATCCATGGAGTCCAATGGATGTACTTTATGTTCAACTTAATCGAAAACAACACGTTTATTATTTAGTAAGGTGAATCTTACTAAATAACACTATTCTGTTAAAGTACTTCAACACAAGTTGGATGAGCTCAAAGAATATCTCTGAAATAAATAAATAAGCATTTGTAAGTTTTCAAGGTGATCAAAGATTGTTAAAGGTATTTTCAAAATATATTAATTTCCCAGTGTAGTACAGCCAAATGCAGCATTTGTCCTTTCATCAATGAAGATTGATGCCAATATAATGTGGTTCTCTAAATATATGTCACTTGCTAATGACAAAGACTGACAAATTACAGTTGCTTCTAATTGTTTAAATGAGAACTTGCTTCAGTAAGGGAGGAAGGAAGTATCTTCCTCACTTCATCCAGAAGTCTCACTAATCCCAGGGTTATTCATCATGGTGAAGTAATACCAAATCTTAACTTTGGAATCAAGTACATTTTTGTGCAATTTCTGTGGAAGTTTAAAAAGTGTGGATTCAGTTTTGTTCAATGTAGGGGTAAGATATTTCCCCCCAGTCTTTTGCTTTACTGTTCTGACAATTTATTCTACTATACTGTCTGCCTGAAGGTACGGTGGAATAAATACCTTCTACAGTTCTATGATTCATTGCAGAATTAAAGCATGTGCAATCTACCGCTACTTTCGGTCCACCTGGTCTATCAGCAGCAGCAGCACATTCTGGTGCAAAAGCACTACTAAGAGTGGCTTGCAACATTTGAAATTGCAATTGCATAACAACAACAATATGAAACAATCATCCAAGGGGACAGGATCAGCAGTTCAAACCAAGCATAAAAATATGATCCGCCAGTTGCCACAAAGAACCCAAATGAGCACAGGTAAACCCTTGTATGACCAGAGGTCAGGAAAAGGGTCACAATGTGGTCCATCCCCTCTTCCCAACAGATGTTCATTTCTACACAGAAGGACTCCTGAACAGAACCATGATCTCATCAATATAACTGAAATTACCATCATGCTCTTGCTTGCTTGCTTAGGAATACACCTTCTATCTCCCACTGTCGTCTAAAGGCCACTTATTTCCATTATTTTATTTTCTCTAGCCATATTTTTAAAAAACCTATGATGGGAAGCAGGAGGGAATTGGCCAGGTGGACAGCAGCTGTTCACACAAAAAATGGGATTCCACTTGAAATTTGAGTTTTCAATAGCAGCCAGTGTTGGTGTAATGTGAACAATGGGTTAAATTGCACAGTGCTTGCTCCATGAATGTTCAGAGATAAGAAAGCAGGTGTACTGGGTTACAGAGTCATACAGAGCAGAGGTCAAGTGTATGACTTCCTGATTAATTCACACTCCTATTGGTTCAGGAATGTAGAATGAATAGTCTGTAGAGCATTGCTTTCATTACGTCTAGTCCTGTTTTGTGTTTGTGTCCTGTCCTGTTTTTCTGCCTCTGAATCTGTGAGAGTCAGGGGAAAAGGCTGTGGGTTTTACAGCAGCATTAGCTAGCGTGGTGATAGTGTTAGTAGATCTGTACATATGTATCTTTACTCCAAAGACCAGAAGAACAGTATATAGCAAATTAGCTTTGTCTTGCATCTGGAGACACACTGCTGCTTTGAACTGTGTGGGAGAGGAGTTTTCCCTTTAACCGGGGACTATGGAAGAAGCTGTTCTACTGGGAGCAGGAAATCTCTGAAGACTCTGCTGGGGCCCTGCATTCTTCTGAGACATCACACTTTCTGATATGTGATGAACTACCAGCTGACTTCCACAAGACAACAACAGTCCACCCACCAGGACAAAAAGAAGCC